AATCAAATAAAAATTCTTATCTCTAAGGATATACTTTTTTATACAACCAGATTTCACAAGTACACACACACGGAAATAATGTATAGATTATTGGTAGAAATGATTTTTTTTCTTAAATCTATACAAAAGTTTAGATATCTCAACAAAAATTTATTTTTTATTAAAAAAATATTTTCTCAATTTCAATAAATATTGCGATACGTAGGTTGCTCCATAATTTTTTTTAAAATGGTACTTATAGTGTTGCCCGATGTAAACCATTGTCATATTCGTAAAGTTTGATGTTTTGGTATGTATTCGTGCCCTGAACCTTTTGTCGTACGAACGCTATTTGTATTGTTTACAGTGACTGGTAAACTGCGACTCAACAAAAAAATGAATTTTACACGTGAAGATTTTCGTAAAATGATTTACTACGATTTTCGAAGTAAATTATCTCAACAACAGTGTTTCGATCGACTTCATTTGGCCTTTGGCAATGAAGCACCAACCCTTCAGACAATTTATAACTGGTACCGAGAATTCCGTTGCGGTCGTAGTTCGCTCAAAGACGAGTTTCATACAGGTCGTCCAAAATCGGCTGTTGTGCCACAAAACATCGATGCTGTCAGAAAACTGATTATGGAAGATCGTCATGTGACCTACCGTGAGATTGAGGCATCTTTGGGCATTTCATCCCACAGCATACATACAATTTTGCATGAACATTTAGCCGTAAAAAAGATTTGCTCTCGTTGGATCCCACATAAATTGACCGATGAACAAAAAATGGCTCGTGTGAGTTGGTGTAAAGAAATGCTCAAGAAATTCAATCGTGGTGCTTCAAAAGACGTTAATAAAATCGTCACTGGTGACGAATCGTGGATATATGCCTATGAGCCCGAAACGAAACAGCAGTCGACTGTATGGGTCTTCCAAAATGAAGATAACCCAACGAAAGTTGTTCGAGCAAGAAGCACTTCGAAGCGAATGGTCGCCTGTTTTTTCGGGAGAAGTGGTCATGTGGCAACCGTTCCACTAGAGGATCGTAAGACCGTCAATTCTGATTGGTATACCACCATTTGTTTGCCCGAAGTGTTTGGTGAAATAAGAAAAAACAACCACCGTCGCAAAATAATTCTTCATCACGATAATGCGAGCTCTCACACATCTTTTCAAACTACTCGATTTTTGACCGGTCAAAACATCGAACTGATGGGTCATCCACCGTACAGTCCTGACCTGGCACCCAATGACTTTTTTTTGTTCCCAAGCGTGAAGAAAAAACTACGTGGTCAACGATTTTCGACACCAGAAGAAGCAGTTGAAGCGTTCAAAACACACGTTTTGGAGATATCAGTTTCGGAGTGGCACGAATGCTATGACAAATGGTTTCATCGAATGCAAAAGTGTATCGATCATCTCGGGGAATATTTTGAAAAACAATAAAACCATTTTCGACAAAAAACAACTGTGTTATATATGTTTTTAAAAAAAATTATGGAGCAACCCTCGTATTTATTGAAATTGAGAAAATATTTTTTTAATAAAAAATAAATTTTTGTTGAGATATCTAAACTTTTGTATAGATTTAAAAAAAAAAATCATTTCTACCAATAATCTATACATTATTCCCGTGTGTGCACAATCATATTTATGGAGTTTATGAAGAAATGATTATAGATATAAAAGCATTTGTTACTTAAGTCTTTTATTTCACACTAGTCCGAGACTTATACGTGTTTATAAACACGCTAAAAAAGTCTTTTCGGAAAAACAGCATAAGAAATTACGATTTTATCTGTCTCATTTTTGCACTGAAAGTATAAATGTTTTTATTTGACTCTCATAAATATTATATTCGGTTTTAGTAAAACACGTTTGTTTTTCTGTTTCCTATGGAACCAATGTATTTGGATAGAAGGGTTTGTATAAACACGATTACCCATTAATCTAGCTAGTAGACGGTTTTACAAATGAAATCGACTAACTTTTCATTGATTATGTTAGGAGTAAAATTTGAATACATTTGACATTTGCTGTTGTTTTTTCGTATTTGTATAAAAATATAAATTATTAGCAATTATTAAATGAAAATATAATTTTAATAAAAATTTAAGTGAGAGTCAACTTGATGACAACTTGCAACTTAGTGTAGTTTACACTGAAATCCGTTGTAGCGTTAGTTGTTTGACAGTATAGTCATAGTTTCGGTGCGTTAATGAGATAATTAAGAAAGAAAACATGCTATGTCAGAAAAATAATTAAGGTTTATTTACGCATAATGACATTCTAATTACTACTTATCCACTCTCTCTGTACCGAAATGGGTATAAAAGTGGATGCAGATTCATTTTTCGTCAGTCACATTTTTGTACTTGAAGTTAAAACATCTCAGCCGAAGTGAATATTCATAAATCAGTAAAAATCCAGTTTTGTTCAAAAACCATCAATTTTGTGTATTATATCAAAATGGCATCATCCAAAACTTATTCCTCGGAGAGTATTTTTCAAAACCTTCCACCCGCCCAGGACTCAATGAAAAACATCGTGAATTCACTCAACAACGATTGCCTTCGAGAAGTCCTACGAAAATTGGATAACTGTCAGGACTATTTCAACGCGGCCAATGTGTGCGTTCACTTTCAAAATAACGCACAAGCAGCCTATCCGCGAAAGTTCAAAAGTTTGAAAATTGATGACAGAGAATTTGGAAAAACGATTTTAAACGATTTTCTAAGGATTTTCGGTTCATTACTTAAATCAATTTTTTGGACATATAGAGAGAAATCTGAATACGATATACTCAATATAATCGCCAAATATTGTGGCGAATCATTGAGTGAACTCACTATTATAAATGACATTCCGAATTTTGGAGAGCGTCATCTTCCACATCGATATCCATTCAAGACACTCGAAATGGTCACATTGGATAGTTGTGGTTTTATATCTGAAATCGATCTAATGGATCAACTTAAACGTTTAACGTTGATTGGAATAACACATACTAATATTCAGCAACGTTTTCCAAAGTTAGAACATTTTACTTCGTTGTTAAACCCAATCACTGTTGTCAAACTCAATGAATTCCTGATGTTGAATCCACAACTCAAACATTTCGAAGTAGATACTCTACGTGAAGCAACATCAATTTTTAAAAATATTGCAAATTATGGACAAAGTCTTGAAACTTTGTCAATCAAGTTCACAAATTACGAACATACAAGCGACTTAGAGCTTTTATCCAGATTGAAACATTTGAAAACTTTCAGATTTGATTTTTTAATAGGAGTAGTTTCTTTAAACAAATTACTTGATGCATTTGCAAGTAATGATGTTCGCATTGAGAACCTACAAGTACGAGGCGAATGGGATGACATAGAAAACATAATCAAGCTGAAATTTTTGAAGAAATTATGTTTTGAAACAATTTCAGAGAAGCAATTGATTCGTATCGCTGGTCATCTACCCAAACTCAAAGAAATTGTAGTCTTGAGATCACAGACACCATTTACCATTGCCGGAATCACAGGAATACTGAAAGGGGGGAAAAATTTAACTAACTTGTACATTTTTGGAAATGATTATCCTGACACAATCACTGTAGGAGATTATGAATACATGTTGGCATTGGTCAAAGGTCGCGTCAGAGTCACTATCAAATCTTTTTACCCACAACCGATTCTTGTTGCCGAAGATGTATTGGATGCGAATCGTAAATGGTTGGATATTTCGTATTTAGAACCTTTATAGAAACGTATCATTGTAGCTGTTGTAGCTGACTTTCCCAACCAAATAAAAATCAATAAAAATTAAAAAAAATGCATTACTTTATATATTTCATTTCTCTTTCATTACCAAAATTAAAGTAGCAGATCAAAAACATTATTCATAGGTAAAACCGGCTACTACGTAGATTGATGGACAATAGCTCTAAAATTACTTGAAAAGTTTATTGTGTGTAGTAATTCACGTCGCCATTGTGTACTGCGATTTCTATATTAATGTATAAAATTGAAAAAATTATGCAACTGACTGCAGAGTCAGAAATAAGTTCAAATATAGAGAACACAGAATCAAATTTGATTAACGATCGAAAAAACGTGTACGTAGACCGCATTTGCATAAAAAACTATCGCAAACCCTTGTGGAAAAAAATGACTGACTGGCTATAAATTAAGTCAATTTTAATCACTTTTATTCGGTTAAAATTACCAATAGATGATTGAAATCGAATATAGTCGGTTATGTTTCAGAGTTAACTAAAAGTGATTATAGTCAACATAGTTGACAAAAGTCAATTTCATATACTTATTGTTAACCGCAGTTAACTATGATCACAATCGACATTTCTCAACTCAAATTACACGAAGACGCATATAGTCGCTTATAGTTAGCTTTAGCCATTTTTGTCCCAAATTATTCAATTTTTAGTCGACTATGAAGTCGAAATATTTCCACAAGGGAAAGAATATTGAAGGGCGCTTACATCAAAATTATTGCCTTTAGCAATTGCTATTAATTAACTGATTTTCTATTCTTAATTTTTATAATCAAACTGGAGTCAAAATACGCTGTTCCTTCGATCACACATTGAAACGATGAAAATTAAAATTTACCTCATAATCTCCAAATCATTTTTGAGAGAGAGAGAGGATGTTAATGAACAAATAATTATACACTCAATGCAAAAATGTGCTAAACAAAATCTTAGAGTAAAAAACGACACACGATGTGTTGATAAATCGCTTATCTATTTTGCCGCTCTCCGAATTTATATTCTGTTTTGTTTCTCAGGACCGCAAGTGTTCTTTTTACTCTAAGTTTTTTGTCGCCTTTTTCATAAAAAAATCTTATAGTCTTTTTCCGTGTTAGATATCAGGCTTCCATATGTTAAAACAGAATAAGGTTATGACAAAATATGTGAATATATGCCACATGTGGCTGCTTTAATTAATTTTACCATTCACTCACATACTTGACTTCAGAATGATTTGATGATAATTTTATTAATGAGTACTGATCGCTAGGCTTTTCGAATATAATTTCCGTAAAAAAAGATATCAACAATCTTATACAAATGAGCAACAGAATGAAAATCATCAAAAAAAACAATTTATTCTGTTAAATATAGTTTTTGTTCAGTTTTAGTAAGTCAGAAACATTCGGTCAGAGCAAAAGTGGCTTAAGTTTTAAGCATGTTATCTACGAGAGTTGTGATTTTAACATTTTTCTTATTCTGTGTCTCCTATGTGTTTTCGTACAAAAATAATGGTGATTCAGATGATAAAAGTGCTCTACCGCCTTCAAATGATAGCCAATTGATATTTGCCCACGTTGTAAGAGACAAATTTTATAATAAGTTTTTCCATTTGTCAATTTGTGTAAATTAACAAAATTATTTATATAATTAACAGCTATATCGTCATGGCCATCGAAATATCTTTAGTCGTCAAAAAATTTATCCAAATGGCCCATACATTAATGAGACTCATTGGCCTGGTGGATTTGGAGCACTCACAAATGTAAATACTTTTGATTGTACAATACTTCACCAAAATTGTTTTTTGTTAAAAACTTTCATTAACAGGAAGGTAAAAGACAGCATTTCACATTGGGACAATATTTCCGAAGAAGATACAACAAGCTTCTTGGCGATAAATATTCACCAAAAAAGGTGTACGTGCGTTCGACTGACATAGATCGCACCTTGATGTCGGCACTTGCTAATTTGGCTGGCCTATTTCCACCACACGCTGAAGAGATATGGCATGAGGATATTGCATGGCAACCGATACCAGTTCACACAATGCCCCTTAAATTGGACTATGTGTTGCATGGGAGTAGTAATTGTCCAAGATATTCTGCTGCTTTCGAAAAATATCAAAATGAATCACCAGAAGTGTTGCGAATACTTAAAGAAAACAGAGAAAATATCTTATATTGGTCGAAAATGTGCGGATCGAATTTAACCACCATTGATGAGATTGCCGAATTATATTTGGTACTAATTGTTCAAATGCAACATAATAAAATGTAAGCTATACAATAATGATCACTAGTACAGATTTTACTAACCATGTTCATTCATTCAATTAATTTTGAAGACTTCCTGATTGGGTACAAAAAGCAATCGAACCAAATGGTACCATGGAATCCATTGCTTCTTTTCGATATAAAATGAGAACGAATACTAAAGAATTAGCTCGACTACAGTCTGGATTTTTGATTAAAGAAATGTTCGAACATTTCGCACAAAAGATAAACTCAACATTGGAGCCAAACCGTTCGGTTTGGTTTTATTCTGCACATGACCACACAATTTCCAATTTAATGAATAGCTTTGGACTTTTCGAGGTAATTTAATTCATTGGAAAAATAAGTAAATTTCTTCTTTAAAATATTTTTTTCCACAGCCTCATGTGCCACCATTTGCATCGAGTGTACATTTGGAATTATACAAAGTTGGCGAAAAAGAGCACTACATTCAAATCTTCTACAGAAAATCGGGTGAAGAAATCCTTCTGCCATTGAATATACCGAATTGTGGGGAAAAGTGTTCTCTGGATCAATTGTATAAATTGTACAATGATATTATACCTGATCGTGATCATGACACTGAATGCCGCCTTCCCAAGTAGATACGGCTGAAAATGTTTTTGATCAGCGATTCAAAATGTGTAAATTTGTTGTTTAATGTTCGAAACTGATAGCACAGTTTTTCTAAATCTCAATTTTTACGGCTTGTTCACCAC